TGTTCAGGGAAAAACAAACTAGGCAAAGCAAGGCAAGGCATTTTTATGTATATAGCGCAATTCATACCAAGCGGCAACTCAATGTGCTTTACATTAAGACAAGACATTTCAAATAAAAGAACAGCAGAAAAAAACAAAACAAAAAAAAAACAATTTTTTTAAAAAGGTTAAAAGAGATATTACATACACTGTACTTAATTTGTATTTTTTGTATTTTTATTTATTTATATTTTTTTGCATAATTTAATTCTAACTTGATACTTTTTGCCCTTTAAGCTGCTGGTAACCTTAATTTCCTGAGGGAGTCTTCCCAAGGGATCAATAAAGTACTGTCTAAGTCTAAGTCTGTCTAAATAAGGGAAAAAAAGGCCAGAAATGCCAATGAGCTGTGGAATAAAGATTAATGGTCAAACGTTACCTTGAGCTTCAGCTCCATCTCCTTCATCTGTGAAATGACGACCTCATTCTTTGCTATTTTTCCATCCAACTGCCCCAGGTTTGACTTCAGGTCAGACTGCAGGCAGAGAAATGAGAAGCATCAGTTAATGCCCACACAAAACAGTAAAATTATTTTAAGAAATGTGTTAAATAATGATTTTAAAAAAGCTAAATAATTTGAAAAAATCATCGATCTGAATCAGCTGTTGTTTTTAATCTAAATTATTTTTAAAAAGTGTGTAAGAATTATTTTAAAAAAGCTAAATAATTTGAAAAAGTCATCGATCTGATTCATCTGTTCTTTTTAAATCTAAATTATTTCTAAATGTGTGAAAGAATGATTTTAAAAAAAGCTAAATAATTTGAAAACATCATCGATCTGAATCAGCTGTTCCTTTTAATCTAAATTATTATAAAAAAGTGTAAAAAATATTTTTAAAATCCTGATTAGTTAAAATGGATGTTGAATCAGCTGTTCTTTTTTATCTACATTATTATAAAAACATTTTAAAAAATGATTTAAAAAAAGCCTGATAAGTTAAAAAGGATGTTGAATCAGCTGCTCTTTTAAATCTAAATTCTTTTTAAATGATTTTTAAAAAGCCTGATTAGTTGAAAAAGATGTTGAATCAGCTGTTCTTTTTTATCTAAATTCTTTTTAAATGTGTTAAAAAGCCTGTTCTTTTTTATCTAAATTATTATAAAAACATGTTAAAAATGTATCTTTAAAAAGCCTGATTAGTTAAAAAGGATGATGTTGAATCAGCTGTTCTTTTTTAATCTAAATCCTTTTAAAACCATGTAAAAAAATTATTTTAAAAAAGCCAAATAATTTAAAAGGATCACTGTGCTGAATCAGCTGTTCTTTTGAATCTAAATTATTATAAAAACATGTTAAAAAATTATTTTAAAACAGCTAAATAATTTGAAAAAATCATCGATCTGAATCAGCTGTTGTTTTTAATCTAAATTATTATAAAAAAGTGTAAAAGATATTTTTAAAATCCTGATTAGTTAAAAAGGATATTGAATCAGCTGTTCTTTTTTATCTAAATTATTATAAAAAAGTGTAAAAAATATTTTTAAAATCCTGATTAGTTAAAATGGATGTTGATGTTGAATCAGCTGCTCTTTTTAATCTAAATTATTATAAAAACAT